GTCCTGCATTAACCACGCCCACTTTATATTTCTGACCAATCTCTGGAGATTTGTCAGACCCCTTCACAGAACTGGGAGTGAAGGGTCTGTTTAACTTGTCAGGGGGTCAAACTCAGCTACACGGGGTCAAAATTCATAACCTGGTCCAAGCCAGGGCCCAATTTCTGTCAGTATTTATAAAAAAAATGTTATATAACAAATTATTCTTATACATATTACCTTTTCCAAATTATGTTTAATGTAGCATTTAGAATATACATAAATTAAAATAAATTCAGCATTTTCTTCTTATGCTTTATGTTCTGTAAACAAATTCTTGATATATTATCTCTTTGAGATACATTTTAGCAAATCAAGTAAAAAAGAAAACCCTCACTAAAAATCCAATTACGTTAAAAATAATAAGAGAAAACAGAAACAGTCATGAGAACACTGCACTAAATACAGTGACGAAACAAAAAGAAACCATAAAGAATTTTAAAGTAWTACCTTTGGGGCTGGGTAGAATGTCAACGAGGACCAGATTTGGCCCGTGGACTTTAAGTTGGACACATGAAACTTGACTGTGTGGGTCTGCCTGAGAGTTCCAGATGTTTAATGATCTGTGACTCTTTGGTCCTGTTTGACAGTCAGGGAGTGACAGAAACAGCTGTCAACACTTTCTCCCTAAATTACTGATGTTGTTTTCAGCTAAGCACAACCCAATAGTCAGTACATGTTTGTGATTTCTTCTTCAGATCCAGAGTCAGTTGATGTTAGTAGATATTACTAAAGGTAAAGCTTGCTGTGCTGCTGTGTGTGCAGAGTACCAACGAGGCCGTGTTCGCTGTGGACTTCAACCCGAGTGACAGCACCATCATCATCACTTGCGGTAAATCTCACGTCTACTTCTGGACCCTCAGCGCAGGACAGTTCACCAAGAAGCAAGGGATCTTTGGAGTAAGACGTGTTGGATTTACAGCTGTTTGTAAAACACAAAGATCACTGAAAAAACCTGAGGCTGACAAGAAATAAGAAAACAACTAGTAAAAATCTCCAAAGGAAACTCAGACTTTGCTTTAGAGTTTAGATTGAACAGAATTACTTTAACAATCTGATCAGCTGTCCCTGACAGGGAGGATATCAGCTGGGTTATATTAGTGCTTTAGAATYAGCTTTTCCTCATTTTTTTAGTGCATTAGTGCTTTAGAATTAGGGGACCTAAAATTTGAGTTAGTGCTTTAAGGTTAGTGCAACTAATGTTTAGATTAGTGCCACCAACCACAGGTAGTTAGTACTTTATCAGCTGATGAAGTACTAACTGTGGAGAAGKTTTAACAACAACAAGTATTTGACTTCAAAGATGACCAGACTAACCCTTTATTTAGAAACATACACTGTGTCTACAGTACTGTTAAAAGAAACATAATTTATAATTAATGGTGTATTCCTTGTTGCATTGGATCATTCAGAATAAACCATAATTAATGTTTAATTAAGAGTTAATATTTCACTAATTATTGTCTTACTAACACCCAGTAGGGGGTTGGTTTGTTTTACAAAAACTAAATCAATAATTTCTGCTGACAATCTCYTGTAATGTGATTCGATGAGCTGCTGTGACATTCTGCAGACTGCTGTTTGAAGCTGACTGCAACAGATTGAAAACTGTAGTTCTACRTGATAAATATGCTGCTGGTTTACTTGCAGAAATACAAGAAGCCCAAGTTCATCCAGTGCTTTGTGTTCAGCCTGACTGGAGACGTTTTGACYGGAGACTCTGAAGGAAACATCCTGACGTGGGGAAAGTCAGCTGCAGATGTTAAGACTCTGGGTAAAGGAGCTAAAGGTCAGKTTTTAATAAATCTATAGATTAATATTAGTCCACAGAATTATACCATTTCATCACTATATTAAAACAAATTGTCTCCATTTGTTCTACTACCAGAGACCTACCAGATCATGCGACAGACCAGAGCACATGAAGGCAGCGTGTTTACCCTGTGCATCCTGCAGGGCGGCGCTCTGCTCAGCGGGGGTGGGAAAGACCGGAAGATCATCCGCTGGAGCGCTGACCTGGCTCCTGAGACTGAGTGTGAGGTGAACCACGACTGGATGTGTCTGACTACACCTGTTAATGGCCAGGAGACGTAACCTTCACCTCGGAGGCAAACTCTGGGCATCACCTGACTAACCAGAACCTTTTCCTAGATTCCAGAAAAGTTTGGGGCCGTGCGCACCATAGCAGTGGTGGATGAGGAGGAGTTCTTGGTTGGGACAACCCGGAATGCTATCCTCCGAGGGACCTTTTCAAATGGCTTTGTTGCCATAGTGCAGGTATGTTTCTACTCACAACATATTTATTTAACTTTTTTTATCCTACCATTTCTAATGAACAGACTCTGATGCAGGACTTTCACCTGCAGGTCCCACTGCTCTTAAAGAATAAAAAATGTTTTTCTGTACATTCTTATTACAATCATCAGCCACTTCATTAGGTACACTTTGTTAGTACCATGTTGGACCCAAGGGCGTAACTTTAGGTCTAACATTGGGGGGGTTATGCTCTCTGTCCATTTATT